AAAAAATCACAAACCATCTTGCAGCACAAGAACAAAAAAGTAACCTGAATAGAGGGATAATTACATCCCTTGAAATGTCGCATATAACAATCATGCCTTAACAATGGATAGCGTTCGAAGTCTGAATAACAGATGTGAGAGTGAAAACTGATTACTTCATTAATTCATGTAGTATACATTGTATAGTGACATAATGACTTGTGGACTTCCCACTGATGACTCTTAGTATCACCATGTATGATGAATTTGCTTATTTGGTGGCTTGACCGAACATGCGCACTGGCATGCGCGCTGTGTCCATACACGTAGCAACTCCTCATCCTCTTGCGTATTCCGTGCATCACATGCTCCGTGGACAAGCACGGAAATCAGCAGTCGAGGTTTGTTCTAAGGCCCTGTCCCAGTAAGAGACAGAAGTGACTGAAGAAATGTATTAACTAATACATATATAGACAAACTTTCTATTATCGTGTTGTTTATTTGCGCTAGAGACAAATAAATATACCAGAAATACTCGTAAGGGGGAGCTGGATTCGAAAATGTACGAGGAGAACTTGATCGACTGAAATCATACTCTAAAAGACTGGATGTCTGGCTCATTTCATTGAAACTAAAATAAAAAGATGTAACTGAGGCATTGCAGGAGTGCTCATAAATTGTACGTAATTTCAGAACATTTGAGAACGGCTTTCGAGACCCCGAATTACACTTAATTATCTAACATCAAGGATGAGACTTAACCTAACTTTATAAACAATGACTTTAAGGATCTTGAAAAGATACGGCCGCGCCATAGCTCAAGCGGTTAGTCGCTGGCTTCCCGATCCCGGGTCTGCTCAAGTGGGATTTGTGGTGGACAAAGTGGCGCTAGGGCAGGTTTTCTCCGAGTACTTCGGTTTCCCCTGCCAGTCTTCATTCCACCAATTGCTCCACAATCACCCCCACCTATCATCTGGGGCTGGTACAATAGGCCAGAAGTGGCCGCAGTACAAGGGACTTAGTCCCACCCCACTAGCAACAAAGAAAACTTGAAATGATCTGTAGGAATGGAATGTGCTCCACATAATTTCACCTGTTGCCTGCTAAACAAGGAGACTGCAGAGTCTTGCCATTTGTCAGTATTCACTGACCGCAACTTAACAAGATACTGTCACGTGTCCTGGTAACGCGACAAGAGGTTAATGGTTCCCGGATCAGATTTTTTTTTTTTTGATTTTGGAATAATTTTACAATCTTCTCAATATACATAAATAGAGCAATTAGTAAAAGGGATGGGTGTGTGTAATATTGAAGCAGGTATCATCCTCCGATGATTCTCTGGTGCTTATCTAATGAGATCCTCTGGCCACATTCAATTTAGTCTTCTTTCTGTTGCTGGTTGGTTGAAGAGTTTTCTTATTAGTTGGTTGTTGTTTTGAGTGGTCCGGTTTTTGTGTTTCTCCGTGTATGCTCTGGTCACTTCTGTTACATATGGTACGCTTAGATCACTGTGTAAGGTAGCGTTTGATACGTACTAGGGAGCATTAACTAGTTTTCTTAGCGTTTTGGATTGGAACGTTTGGAGAATTTTTATGTTGGAAGGTTTGCTGCATCCCCATAACTCTATCCCGTAGGTCCAGACTGGTTTGATTATTGTTTTGTATAGGATAATTTTGGTTTCAAGAGATAGCTGTGATTTTTTTTGTCGATTAGCCAATTCATATTTCTGGTTTTGAGCTCTAGTTGTCTTCTCTTAGTTTTTATATCCGTTTTCCACGTTAGTTTTTCGTCAAGTTGGAGTCCTAAATACTTAGCTTCTTGCTTGATGGGTATGGGGGTGCTGTTGATACTAACTTGCGGGGAGACAGCTCTTCTTGTTGTAAATGTTATTTGGGGGGATTTTGCAGGATTTATTTTGATTTTCCATTGTTCCATCCAGTTTTGGAGTGAGTTGAGGTGTTGCTGCAGTTTTTGGGAGGCTGTATTTGGTTCTTGGTCTGATGACATTATTGCTGTGTCATCGGCGAATGTTGCCATTAGCGTATTGTCTGTTAGTGGGACGTCAGCTGTAAAGATTAGGTACAGAAGGGGGCCCAAGACGCTGCCCTGTGGAACTCCTGCTCTTATTAGATGTTATTCGGATAATTCATCGTCGATTTTGAAGTGACAGGAGGTTGGAGAAAACTGCATAATGAGGAGCTTCATAACTTGTACTCTTCTCCAAGTATAATTAGAATGATCAAGTCGAGGAGGGTGAGGTGGGCAGGGCATGTAGCACGAATGGGGGAGAAGAGGAATGCAAATAGCATATTGATGGGGAAACCGGAAGGAAAGAGACCACTGGGAAGACCAAAACGCAGGTGTGTGGACAATATTAAAATGGTTCTTAGAGAGATATGATGGGATGGTGTGGATTGGATTGGTCTGGCTCAGGATATGGACCAGTGGAGGGCTCTTGTGAACACAGTAATGAACCTTCAGGTCCCATAAATTGCTGAGATTTTGAGTAGCTGCACAACTGGCGGTTTCTCAAGGAGAGATCACTTCATGAGTACGTGAGTAAGTAAAGGATTATTAACACTCCCATCCGGTGCTTGCACGATTATACATACGGAAGGGCGACATGAATATAAGTGCTCTGCGCAACAAGTGAAACTCTTCTGACACTTACGCGAAAATGGCGGTGTCATTAGTAACGTTGCGTGGCAGAGGAAAAATAACTCTCGAATTACCTGTACAGTGTCTTCTAATATTTTTCTGAAGAGAGTTTTTTGAACATGCAACAGGAAAACAGTTGGCATCGAAATGAGAAAACAGAAGCAAAGACCGGTTTAAAAATCGTACCACGCCCTAAAGTGCAATTGTTTCACCCTTGAGGGATAAAAAAAAACAGAACCACACGGATAGAATAAAATATTTGAGTAACTTTATGAGTGTCCGTGTCTGTTTTGGAATGAAACAATTAGGTACAGCATCTGGTTCCACGTGTGTATCTGTTGGTTCCATCAGACACGGCGCCAATTATACAGAAATACCGTGAGAATGACTGACTTATGTAGATAGCCTTCAAAACGAATCAGTGCTTGTACTTTTACACAACGCTTTTTCTAGGCCTGTACTTAAAGATCACATAATAATGTGTGAAACCGGTTATTTTAATTTGGACATGGCACCGCACTGATTACAATGCCCGAAAATGTCCGCTGATAACCGAACTTGATGACCTTTAAAATTTAGATCACTGCTTGGGGTAGTGCCAACTGGATTTGGGTTCGACACCGAGTATACAGCGTTACCGGGTCATAACGAAACCGGCAACCCTCAGGGAAAGTCGTAAGCAAACAAAAACGACTCCTACTTTGTGGCTTGAAACTTATACGGATTACGACACGACTTGTACGGCCCTACCCAAATCGCAGCTCTGCGTGTCTTCTAACGTTACACTCTACAGCCTGTCCTCTCAGACACCGGGTCGTGTCAATGAGTGGCAGCGTAGTTGCTACAAACCGGAAGGGCGCGGGTTCCAGTCCCGATGACGCGGATATTTCAATTGACCTAACCCTTCCAGCCGCACTATGGCCCTGGGGTCCGCTCAGCCTCTAACAGAAATGAGTACCAGGAATTTTCTTGGGGGTAAAGGGCGGCCGGCGCGTAGTGCTGACAACCCTGTCGCCATCTGTGAGCCGATTGCCTTAAGGAAAAGTGGAAGCCTCGACGTCTCACAACCTTATGGGCCTTCAGAGAGTGTTACAGGGGTTGCTTCACAGTTTTCCTTTAGATGTTATGAATTACATCTCAACGGATCACAGATCATGCAGTAGATAACTGAGAGTTGCGGGCCACAGCTCCTTAGCCAAGAGAGCCAGACTTCAATGGGAACACCATTTTAATATTGTCCACCCACCTACGCCTTGGTCTTCCCAGTGGTCTCTTTCCTTCTAGCTTTCCCACCAATATCCTATATACATTCCTCTTCCCCCCATTCGTGCTACATGACGTGCCCACCTCACCCTCCTTGACTTGATCATTCTAATTATACTTGGAGAAGAGTACAAATTATGAAGCTCCTCATTATGCAGTTTTCTCCAACCTCCTGTCACTTCATCCCTCTTCGGTACAAATATTCTCCTCAACACCCTGTTCTCAAACACCCTCAGTCTGTGTTCCTCCCTTAATATCAGAGACCAAGTTTCACGCCCATACAGAACCACAGGCAAAATTATAGTTAGTATGTATGTTTACATATATAATGTCTTAAACAACCATTTGTACAATTATCATAATTTGCGTACATCTTTTTCAACTTTATTTACGTTTCGACCTTAATGATTATTAGGCTAAAATAAGTGTATTATAATGGATTTTTTTAAATTATTCTATCGTTAATATTCCCCAACATTCTTATAACTAGTGTACTGAAATCAAATTTAAAAGCTTATGTACAAACTTGTAAAATCACTAAGAAACTTCTATAAATTATTAAAGAAAATTATTTCAATTCGCAGAAATCATTTTTATAGCATCTGGTTCATGTATAATTTTCTTTAGAGTTTTTTTACTTATTCCATCTCGGATAAAAATGTTCTCCCATCTTGTTCTCGAACACCCTGGATGTATGATTAACTATGATAAATTTTGTTTCGTATATATTTTTTATTATTATTTTTGCCCATTTACAATCCACTTAACCGTGAAGGAAGTAACAAGTCAATGTGATACATCTTCTTATGTCCTGAAGGCGGTACTGCCCAGCGGCAATTCTCATCCATGTTCCGTACATGTTAACCCAAGAATGTTTTGCATTCTTTCTGTAGATCAAGTGTACGCTAAAAATGTTATGACGTTAAACGACGAACTGAAAGAGAGACCGGTTACAGAATTAAGTTCGTGATTACAGCAGGTCAAGAGGAATTGACGTCAGAGGGGCCCTAAACTAGTACCTGGTGGCACAGGAAGTTGTGACGCAATGAAACAAAACGATTTCATTCAATGAGTGATGTGGAATTTCTGCATTTTAACAGGTTCGACAAGATGGATGCCAGTAATCTTCAGGTTCGCTGGAAACACCACCAGATGGGAGTAATGGACTATTTAAGACAACTGCTGGTTTCTGAAGTGTTTGTTGACGTCACTCTGTGTTGCCAGAACAAAAGGTTCAAGGCGCACAGGATCCTGTTGTCGGCTTGCAGCTCCTACTTGCAGGTAAGGACCTACATACTCACATATCGCTTAGCAGGCGAGGGTGGGGGTTTCTGGTTTTAAAGCCAGAGGGTGCGAGCCAGGAGCCTATACATCTCTCGAGTTCTTCCTGGTTTGCAACAAAGTTCAATAATCCTCTTTCTAATGCTGCTCTAGATGAAACACATTCAACTCAAGTTACGTTTATCTTACACTTCGTATTCAGGAACGTAATACTGTGACGGATCTGTTCAAAGCATTAAGCTACGGAGCCATAGAAACCAGTTGCTAGGTAAACACATTCCAGAGGTAAGGCAGGCAACAATAGAAATTTTGTTGTTTATCAGCTAATGTTTCAATAACGGATAATTTACAGGAATTTCCATGGATACGAGCTAGTCTGTGTAATGAGCCGTGGAGTCTCTCCATCCATTCATTCGACAGACAGTCGTAGTTCGAGGCGTCAGAAAATCTTTCGTAAGGCAGTTCAATAGTTGAAGTGTTGAGCAGATCAGATTCGTTACCTAGCAACGACTAGTGTAAGCAGACGCTGAAGACTTTAGCTTATGTGCTATAATTACAGTAATCTTCACAGTGTTGCAGTTATTTGTAGTTACGACTTGTGAGTGTCCAATAAAGCTCTNCTGATTTCTTTATCAACGCAATCACCGCTAGCATTTCTTCTTGTTAAGTTGGTAACCCTAACCCCAGACGACATGTTGGAGTAAAATTTTGACAAATGAAGCCAAAAGAAGAGGCAACACAGAGATATTGGGTTTTCGGACTTTATCCATCGTCCTGGTTTTAAGATAACTAAGAAAAACAGACGTTTCGGAAACTGGATCTGTTTCCGTCCTCAGGTGAGGGAAAACACTTATTCTGTTTGGACCTGGACCAGTGATTGAGGCTAGCTCTTTCTAAGGGGCCCAACAGAAAAGGTGTTTTCCCTCACCTGAGGACGGAAACAGATGCAGTTTCCGAAACGTCGTGTTTTTCTTAGTTATCTTAAAACCAGGACGATGGATAAAGTCCGAAAACCCAATATCTCTGTGTTGCCTCTTCTTTTGGCTTCATTTGTCAAAATTTTACTCCAACATGTCGTCTGGGGTTAGGGTTACCAACTTAACAAGAAGAAATGCTAGCGGTGATTGCGTTGATAAAGAAATCAGTAAATCAGAAATATTTTTTAGCTTTTAAAATTTAATTAACCTTTTTACGCCTGAGATTCGTCTAACGTGAAATAAACTACTTTTTTGCTATAGAGAGCAATCGGTTAGTGCTGTGTAGTCACCGTTTGTTGGGAGAATCATCAGAAAATGATGATTGTACTGTATGGGTAAGAAGGTGGGTGTAGTAATAAGCACGAGGCTTTGATAGAGTCAATATAGGGCCCTCGGGAAGGGGCTCTATAATTTTTATGGAACAAGCGAACGGATAAAACGGGTAGGAGCATAATTTCAACGTCACGAAGGAGGACTGGGGCACGCGGTAGCGTAGTTGGTTGAGGCACTATGCTACAAGCCAGAAGGTCGCGGGTTCAAGTCCCGATGAGGTCACTGATTTTTTTTTCAATTGACCTAATCCTTCCAGCCGCACAATGACCCTGGGGTCGACTCAGCCTCTAACACAAATGAGTACCAGGAATGTACTTGGGGGTAATGCGCGGCCGGCGCGTAAGGCTGACAACCTTACCGCCATCTGTGAGCCGATTTTCTAGAAAATGTGGGAACCTCAACGTCTCACAACCCTATGGACCTCCAAGGCCTGTTACAAGGATAGCTTTACTTTTTACTTTTTTTTACAAGGGAGATCGATTTCGTCTTTCTCTGCTGCCAGGCGTTCCGTGTTAAATAGAAACACCGTCAGCAAAAAGTATCGAAGTCATGATCTCAAAATTCCTACTTGAGGCGTCCTTCAGGCAGTTTGTTTCCAGACACTGTCTCCACTCGTTCAAACCCTAGGATCGTGGTTTCGAATCCCACTCAAGGCATGAATGTATGTGTGTGCATTTATTCTGTGTGTAGATAGCGACCTTGCGAAGGGCTGATCCCCCGTCCAAGGAGTATGTATAAGATTAAGAAACTGAAAAAAGGGGAAAATGTCCAGCAAAGAGCTGTAGAGCCGTAGATTGGTAAACAGCATTGAGACTATGCGGTATAGCGTCGGTCATAGGGTGATTAATGAATATGCAGCAGTTAGTGGGATGAAAATTGGCAAGGGAAACCTAAATACTCGGAACAAACGTGTTCCAGTGTCATTTTGTCCACCACAACTCCCACGTGACTTTACATGGAGTTTAACCCGGGCCAGATCGGTGAATTTATATTTACTTAGTGGAATTCGCTCCTAAGTTTATATTTCGTAGGTACGTTTCTGCTTATGTTTTCCATATAAAATACTGTCGCGTGTAAAGGGGTTGTGCGTGACTTATAAGACGGGTTGTGGATTAGATGATTGGATTTATTGACAATTTATACACGTAATATATCACTACCGCTGTTCCACACACTTTGCAGTTCACCATTGCACACACACTCGGACTCTCAGCCTTCACTAGTCGTATCCTGGCAACGGATTTACAACGGTCTCACTGTAACTTCAAATCACAAACGAAGTCTTTTTTTTTTGACAGCCTAACTCCTTTGTAACCATTTCTTCTCAATAATTTTCAACTGTCATTTCCATAACTCGACCCAATTACCGACAACAACTCCCTCATACGACGTTCTTTGTCCCTTTATAACCCCTCGGCACGGATCGCACAGAAAACACAGCCTCTCTATTATTGAGGAGACTTCGTTACTGATCCGTTGCCTAGCAATGGGTCTGTACGTCACAGTGTTTATATACTTAACGACGCTGTACCTGTGTCTCAGGAGGAGTAGTGAATAATGAATCGAGACGGATGAGGTAGGAAGTACGCGTGCTGGCGGCACTGATAAAACTACGAAATAACTGAGTCAGCGTAGTCGGTGTACTGGACGAGATTCGAACTGGGCTCTCTAACGTGTTTATATAATACCCATGTTTTGGTTCATCCCGGTTTAATGTGCAGCCAGACGATTAATTCACACAAATAAAAGGGAAAGTTTCTTGACGTGTTCATTGTTTAGTGCAAGGACGTGTTTTTGTAGTGTGAAGGACAGCATAACAAAAGAGTGGACAGGGTGTGGAACAAAACGGTCTTAGCAAAATTTTGTGTGCCGCGGCCCACGGGATATGCCTGGAGTAGATGAAGAAAATCATGAAGGAACTTCAGTCACTATATCAGGTCTTCGGGGCCGAGATTTGAATCCAGTACCTCTCGACTACGAAACAGGTGTGCTAGAGAAAACAACAGTTACTGCCTGAGACTGCTAGAATCCTACCAGTGTAGCAACCCATGAATAATTAACACCCCTAATTAACACTATTAAGTCACGCATCAGCAAGATTTTTATAACGGGAAAGGCAGCTAACTTCCCTAGGTCATCAAGTTTGCCGGCCCCAGCCAGGGTGGCCCCACGTCCGGCTTTGGAGACCTTGACGTCACACTCGGTTTATCGCAAAATGTTTAAGGTGCACCAGCACACAAGAGCGGACTCGTGGTCACTGGAGGCGATCTGCCCACCGCACTGAACTGCGTGCTTGCTGCTTGGTTCAGTAGTTCAGAAACTGGAAGTGACCCCGCCAGTCGCTCAGCCACTCACGAATTTCCAGATATTTTATGAAACCAAAGGTTCACTACCGTGTTCACAAGAGCCCTCCACTTGTCCCTGTCTTGAGACAGATCAATCCAACCCATATTGCCCAATTCAATATCTCTAAGATCCATTTTGATATATCCTCCCATCTATATCTAGGTTTTTCTAGTGGTCTCCTTCGCTCTGCTTTCCCACCGTACTCCTATAAGCATTCTCTGAGGGTGTTTGAGAACAGGGTGTTGAGGGGAATATTTGGACCGAAGAGAGATGAAGTGACAGGAGGTTGGAGAAAACTGCATAATGGGAGCTTCATAACTTGTACTCTTCTCCAAGTATAATTAGAATGATGGAGTCGAGAAGGATGAGATGGGCAGGGCATGCAGCACGAATGAAAGAGAATACGAATATCTGTAGGATATATATATGGGAAAGCCAGAAGGAAATAGCCCACTGCGAAGACCAAGACGTAGGTGGGTGAACAATATTAAAATGGATCTTAGAGAGAGAGGATGGCGTGGTACGGACTGGATTGTACTAACACGAACTTCAGTAATGGGAGCCGGTATAGCGACTGACTGAACGACTGAGGGTCAGAGTTCGAGTCCCGGTAAAGGTAAAACAAAAGCTATCGCTGTAACAGGCCGTGGAGGCCCATAGGGTTGTGAGACGTCGAGGCTCCCTTATTCTCTAGACAGTCGGTTCACAGATGACGGTGAAGTTGTCATCCTTACGCGCCGGCCGCCTTTTACCCCGAAGAATATTCCTGGTACTCATTTCTGTCAGAGGCTGAGTCGACCCCAGAGCCATAGTGCACCTGGAAGGATTAGGTCAATTGAAAAATCCAATGACATTATAGGGACACGAACCCGCGACCTTCCGACTTGTAGCATTGTGCCTCAACCAACTACGCTACCGCGTGCCCCCTCGAGTCCCGGTAGGGTCAAGAATTCTTTCTACTCCACGTCTTTGAAACCGGCCCTCGGCCCCACCCAGTCTCCTATCCTATTTCCCCGGAGGTAAAGCGGCTAGAACGTGAAGCTGACCACTCACCTTTAATTAGTGCTGAGATCAATAAAATCGGGGATATATTCATCCACTCCCCCATACGTCTTCATGGCGTAGTGCTGAATTAGTTGAGCAGAGGGACAACTTAATTTTTTTAGAATTTAGTTACGTTTTTTTTTGCAAGACAGTGGAAGACTTTCAGTATCGAGGCGATACAGCATCAGAGGGCAGGGCGATATATGTATAAGGATGAACTGGGAGGGATCTGGAAAGAAGCGGTTTTATCTAATCGAAGTAGCTGAGGGGACTGAGAGAAACCAGAAAAACATTATTCAG